AATATACTTAGTTTCTCCAAAGTGCCCTTTCTACTTAATGTATTGTGTATGGAATGTTAGCAATGAGGTCAAGTTTCTGTCATTTATTAGGTATTTTAAAGTAGATTGGAGCTTAAAAAGAAACTATGTGCATTGTTGGCATGTGAACCAAGGTGACAGGGGATAAAGGGTGGGCTTGAGCTGCATTATGAAAGCAGGCAGATCCTGGGGGGTAGTGTCTCTTCCTTTCAGATGCAGGGAAAGATGAGTGAAGTTGGAAGAAATTTGAGGTAATGTAGATAGTTTGTCAATGATCTTGACAAATTAGTATAAATTTGAATTTGTCAATGATGTTAATGTTTTAGAAGTTTAGGATTATAGCACACAGAGAGTGGGGTGACCCAGGGTTACAAATTTTGTTAATTAACATACAACAACAAAAATAATACTTTCATTACTTAAAAAATCATTAATTATTCTTATGGTTTCTTGCCTTTCATGTGTAAATTTAATAGTTGTTTCACAAGTTTTTTGAGAAATTACACAATATATTTTCTAATTCTGTAACACCTCTAATAGCACCAATTCAGTGGATCAGCTCAACAAATTTGCTATTGCTTTTACAATGGAGAATAGCTCACTGTGAATGTATTTAGTTTGTATAAAAGGAGTGTTCTTAATTTTGTATTTCTGCTTGAATAAGCTCTTTTTTTTTTTTTCATCCCATTAGATGGTTATGGAGCAGGGAGATTGGCTGATTGGAGGAGATCTTCAAGTTTTGGACCGAATTTATTGGAATGATGGTCTTGATCAATATCGTCTTACTCCTACTGAGCTCAAGCAGAAGTTTAAGGATATGAATGCTGGTAAGACGTGGACCTAATTACATGATATGGCACTGCTTGGAGACAGATTTCTAGATGATTTTTTTTCTCATGCTAACTGAATGTCTAAAAGAATGATAAGTTAAAGATATCTGTAGCCTTGCACTATATAAGGAAAGGCAGACAGAACCAGCCTGTGTTGTGTTGTTATAATGATATAATTTGATCTAACATTTTGTATATACTCTGGAAGATGGATGCTATTATGGTTTAGATATGAGGTGTTCTCCAAAAGCTAATGTGTTCGACAATGCAAGAAGGTTTAGAGGCGAAATGATTAGGTTATGAGAGCCTTAACCTAATCAGTGCATTAATCCACTGATAGTGACTG